ATTAATTTGGCCAATGTGATATTTTTTATTCAACAAATTAAAAATATAATATACCTAATATATATAATATAATTAAAAATAATTTTTTAAAATTTGTAATGATATTTTTAATGCAATGAATTAATTAATTTTACTAGATACTTATTTTTAAATAAGTTAGAGATATGGAAAATTGCAATTGCTAAAAATACTTGACAACTAAAGACACAATTCCACTTAAGTGGATAAAGGGTCTATCTATAGACATATAAGTGAAAAAAAATTGACAACTTTTTTTTAAAATCTTTTATCGTGCTTGATTAAGGAGTATTTTTAATAAAAAACAAGGTGTAATTTTTTTTCACTTAGACCCGGGTCGCGACCAGAAAACCGATGGACGTCCTGAGGCCTAGGCCTATGGACGTCCTAAGGCCTAGGCCGATGGACATCCTGAGTACGTCCATCGGTTTTTTGCCTGCGACAATAGTTGAAGATACAAATTGATATATCACCTTTTATAAAGGCCTTTATAAAGGGTGATATATCAACTTGTATCTTCAACTATTGTCGCAGGCAAAAAACCGATGGACGTACTCAGGATGTCCATCGGCCTAGGCCTTAGGACGTCCATAGTCCTAGGCCTCAGGACGTCCATCGGTTTTCTGGTCGCGACCGTCTGTAAAGGATTTAAACCGGATGTCCTCAGGACATCTTGTGCTATCTGGGACGTGGGTTATATTTATTTCTAGTAGCAATGTCCCCAATAAAATCTTAATTCCTTGTCATCCGAAGAATCATACAAGTAATTATTTAAAAAACCTGCCATATTTATTACTTTATTGAAATAGATATACCTATATGCGCTTTACTTAGCTTTTAGCACAATACAATTGTGGGTTTTGGGTTATATTCTTTTTCTTCTGATTGTAAGTACTACCAGTTCAAAAAAGGTTCCAACCAGTTTATACATTATTTAAAATAATTTTACTATTTTTGTTCGCGCAGTCGCATTAACGCTGTTACGGACGATAATATTACGGTAATATTACTGCTGGTTGGAATGAACCTTATAGTGATGTATACTTTTTACAAATTGTTGAACTTTAAACGGTTATTTATAAACAATTGGACGGTCAAAAATTTTTAATTATTTTTTTTTAAACTCAGCAAAAATACATGAAAAGACTGTTAGTTTTTTTAAAGCTTCTGACAGTTAGTTTTTTTTATAACTAAGAAACTGGCACAGAACTACAGAAAGCGTATACAATCCATGTTAATTATCCAATTTTTAATTGAATTTATTTCGGGTTATAGCCCAGGTAGCACAACGTGACGAAACCGTGACGATTTGTGTCCATTGTGTCCAATTGGACACAAATCGTCACGGTGTGCTACCTGGGAGACGGTCAATCGACTTCAAATTTTAAGGATAATTGGACCCCGTTATGCAACAAAGAACCAAACAACATATTTGCAGTTACGAGAAAATGAGGAAAAACGTTTCAGACTTTTGATTAAAAAATTTATTTATAAAAACACTTTTAAACTGAACAATTGTTTAAACGCCATCATATTTTACTATATATGAACAGAACAATAATTTTAATGAACAAAAACACTTAAAAAGTTATTCCAAGTATGGAAAAAATACCTGGTTCCCTATTGCTTAATTGAAAATTTAACAAACATCACTTGGGTCCGCAACCAAGTTACAATAAAAATAAAAAAAACTTACGTATGTCAAAAAATAAAAGTTTTACTCTAAGAAAAACACTTGGTTCTATATTGCGGAACAGGAAAAAATATATTATTGGTCAAAGGCAAAGTCTAACTCGCTATTATAACCGTCTATGTCTTCCTCTATTGAAGGGTCTCCTATTAGACTAGTATAAAAATTATGATCAGCCTCAGGAATAACTGCGTATGTCATAGTTTTGGCTGAGCCACTGGTTTCCCGTTTGGCCTTAGCGATTCCAGTAACTGAGAAAACTGTACGTCTGAATCCTTTGATTTTTTTCTCTTCCTTATATTTATTTCTTTATATTCAGTTTCATCAACATAGTCCATAAAGATACTAATTTTTTTTTCTAATAAGTTTTATTTCTTTTATATGGAGCCAATTAACTTTTTCACATTTACAACTTTTCTTTCTGTTAACAATTACTTTTCCTAATGCCCTAGTGCTAACGAAATCATCTTTTTTTATTTCATGTCCGCTTCTTCTTACATGTTTTCATGATGTTTATGTAATCTTGAGGGCAAAATACATTATTTTGTCTCTTAATCGCGCATTCCGAAGTCGCTATCGTTCGGTAGGAAACTATGACCAGACACCAGAAACCTTAATCTAATACTTTTTAAATGTACCGAATCCTCAAGAATACTTTTTAGCAAGAGAACCATTTTTATATTGCGATTCTGGCCACCGCAGGAATCGCTCCAGAGATTAAATTCCGTTAAAAATATTTTTTTGCTTACTAAAATATTTAAACATTCAATCTTGTAAAGGTTGTACATATGATTGGCAATGTTGTTCCTTTTTTCAAAAACTCTTGGTCTAGTCTTTTGACCCTACAATAATGCGATTTGTATCGGGGGAATTTGTTTATGTGGGAGACTACGGAAGGTTTTTGTTCATTTGACATTTTATTGTGTCCTAATACCACGCCTATCTATAGATCAGAGAAATAGAGTCTATTTCTCTGCTATAGATTGACAGTATTATAATACTCAGAGATAAAGAAGAATACTGTCAACCACTGTCAACAATAAACAGAGAACGCCGTGAAACACGTGGGAAATTCGCAAAAGGGAACCAACACATCTTAGAATTAGCAAAAGGGAACCAAGTAACTTTGGATCTTTATAGTAAATTACAATCGAAATAGTTTTGGTTATGCAAGTAAGTCCTTAATAAGTATACAAAAATTTAAAATTTTCTGATGGTATGCTTACAGCACAACTACCTTAAAATAGGATTTATTTTTACCGATATCGGTAACAATATTTCTTTGGTGGGGACAACGTGATATTTTTCGACAATGTTTATGAAAATCATATACCTATAACTTATAGCAACTTGTGTTGCTTTGGTGGAGACCCAGCTTAAGCCAACTTGCATCTCTTTCCCTCTCGCAGACTGCGCAGTTGACATAATATTAGAGATGGGAAAATTCCCATTTGACGAAAATTCCCGGAAACTTTCCATCGAAAATTCCCGAAATTTTCCGAAAGTTTAAAAAAAAAATTTTTTTATTGCGAAAATATTTTTTTTTATGCCAGGGATTTGCAAAAATATATACCACATTAACTTTTTGTCGAATTTTATTAAGAAAAAAAAATAAAAAAAATGTTTATAAGAATGTAACTGCAACAACCTACAAAATAAAAATAAAATGTTTACTATTAGAAATTCACTGCTAGTAAATCCTAGATATTACGTAAAAAAATTAAAATGGACAAAGTAACTAATATATAGGAATATTGAAAAGTAAAAGATACTAAAAATAGTATTGCAGTTCTGACTGATAAAATTTTTGTTTTTTTGCACTATTTTGTAATAATTCCAAACACTAGATTTTTCTCTTGGCATTGTGCTATGCCTATAAATAAACAACAAAAATGTAAGAATGATTTTAACTTTGTTTATTGTTTTTATTTTGTTTGCCTTTTTTTAAAAAAGTTTTTTGTGATGATGCTGAATAATCCGGCTTCATTGAGGTTATGTAACATAACTTACATTATTTATACTTCTTCTGCTTTAAATTAACACACATTAAATTCTTATTCAAAGTTTCTTGGCCTTGTATCATGGCCTTAACGAAAATCAGCGGTTAAACAATTGACATTTAAATAAAAAAAAACAAGGAAAGTTTCCAAGGAATGTTTCCAAGGAATGTTTCCGGTAGCTTAATTTAAGCTACCGGAAACATTCCTTGGAAACATTCCTTGGAAACTTTCCTTGTTTTTTTTTCATTTAAATGTCAATTGTTTAACCGCTGATTTTCGTTAAGGCCATGATACAAGGCCAAGAAACTTTGAATAAGAATTTAATGTGTGTTAATTTAAAGCAGAAGAAGTATAAATAATGTAAGTTATGTTACATAACCTCAATGAAGCCGGATTATTCAGCATCATCACCATGGAGCCTACACAAGGAGCCCGAACTTCATGTAAACAAGAATCTTCCTAAGATAAGAGGGCGCTGGTGTACTACCGGTCCAAAACAGTAGAGGGGTATAACCAGAGATGGCGCCACTACCTACCACTTATTATTGTGCAAATAATTGAGGTTATGCAACTGTCAGTTTATCACTTTCTGAAAACAATGTACCCATGTACCTGGTTCACTTCACAGATTATAAAGAATCACTTATATTTCACAACCAAAACCTTTTCATTAGCATCTACCTACCAGGTACAGCCATAAATAACAAAACGATTCGTACGTCAAAACATTATTGCAAATCAATTGTCAAAACTTACTTGCTTACTTCACATGTATTTTCGATACTATTTTCACGTCATTCGGACGCATTAACAAGCAGCGCCGCTGGTGGTGAAAAAAAAAGACTTAAATTGTGCAATTTAGTGGACAGGTTTTGTCAATTTTCCCTATTAAGTTCGGGCTCCTTGTGTAGGCTCCATGATCATCACAAAAAACTTTTTTAAAAAAAGGCAAACATTATTTTCATTTTGAAAGTTTCTTTTAATAAAAGAAACTTTCAAAATAAAAATAAATTCCCAATTGGAAACTTTCCAAAACGGAAAGTTTCCTTAAAATGGAAACTTTCCGATTCCCATCTCTACATAATATTATAGTTAGTTCTTCTTCTTCTTCTAGCCACAATAAGGTAAATAAGTGACCGAAAAAAAGTGTAATCTATAACTTGGGCTTTTTAATAATAAATATGAAAAATTCCCTAATTATAACGATTTTTACTAAAAAATTCCCTTTTCCCTTTTTGATACCAAAATTCCCTAAAAATGGAAAATTCCCTGCAGTTGGGAACACTGCTCAGCGTACATATTTATCTGTCAAAAGTTTTGACAGCACGAAAACATTTTATGATCAGATTCTGTGACATTTTCTAATCCATGATAAATTCAGAAGATTATTGCAAAACCTCGTAGTTTCTTAGGATTTATGTTTGCCTCTTTGGTTTTTTAAATAAAAATAAACAGCAAAATGTGCACGGTGAGCAACATAAAGGGCGAAATCGATATACAAAGGTTGCCGGTAAACAGCGAAGAGCATGAGTTTAACAATTGGATATTTAAATACACAAAATCGCATATTTTGCATTCGATATGCACGACGCCTGAAAAGTGCAGCAACGAGAACGAAAAATGCCTCCTGTGCAAGTATGAACAATTTCTAAAATGTACAAACAGTGGCCAATTAAACTATGTAATTTTTAGATATACAGGGTCTCTGGAACTGCCTCATTTCCCAGAAATGGTTTTTCCCAATAATGTTTTAACTTTAAAGCATCCATCAAGTGCTGTGATTGAGTTTAATGCATTGGATGCATTGAAAGTGGTGTGTAATGGAAAGTTACCCATACAAGTGGCTTGTGCAGAAGCTTGGCAAGAATCAAGGTATGTAAATATGTTAATTTAATTTCCAATAAAGTGTTTGTTATGTTTTAGATCTTCAGAAAACTTGGAGCAAAAATTAAAACCATTTGATTGGACTTTTAGTTCTGATTACAAAGGTACTTTACCAAATTCAGTGAATGTAGTGGAAACTGAGGAGAGAATAGACATTGAAAAATTAAAAGCAAAAGAAAAAATCTTATTTTATCAAGAATTAATGCTCTATGAGGATGAATTGCATGATAACGGAATATCATCTTGCACCATCAAAATTGTAAGTTTTAATTTAATATTCTCCTATTATTAAAAAAATATATAATTTTGCAGAGAGTGATGCCAAGTTCGTTTTTTGTACTGCTAAGATTCTTCCTTAGGGTTGATAACGTAATGGTGAGGATAAATGATACAAGATACTTTCACGATTTCACAACAGATTATATTCTGCGAGAGTACACCAATAAAGAATGCGGATTTAGCGAGTTAAAGTTGCCTTTAACAATGTTTGGGGACCCCAACATGTTATCTCCACATATGCCACTAAGAACTGCCATTTACGAAAAAATCTCATTTGAAAATATCAACACAAATCCAACTACCTCAAAAACTGAGGTTAATTAGTTTATTACTAATTTGTACATATAAATTAAATTTTAAGGCCAATACATTTTTATAAAACTTGTTTATTGTTTAATTATAATACATAAATTTTGTGATAATTAATAATTTGCCCAGCGGGCAAAATATTCTCTTCTTTTCGAAAGTAGAAATCTACCTACTTTCATGTAAAATATTCTTTTTTTGGAAAGTAGAAATCTACTTTTATTTCTTACCTTCTTTATCTCTGGTTTTATTTAGATGGCGCTGTTTTATATAACGCACATATACTTACCACACAGGTAAGTAAGTATATGATAACGCACACAGGGTTGGGATTTTGACCGGTCAAAATCTTTTGTGGTCAATTGACTAAGCACCGGTCAAATTCCTTAGTTTTTTCTAAAAAAATGAAGGCATGAGTAAAATTACTTAATTTTAAATACCATTCTGACGTACAAAAAAAAACCATTCATAATATGAATATTATATATGTTTTTAAGAACATTCACGTCTAGCTCGCAGCAGAGCAGCAACCCAGCAGATAAGACCTGAAGATGGTACATGAGATTGTACCGAAACGTCGTCAGACATACGGTTCTTTTAAGAACCAAAACCCGACAACACGGTGCTAGCATGTGTAGATAACGGCACATCATTCCAGAGACTCTATGCATCATCCTCGTCACTGAACCCACCCTTGCCATTGTCTTTACTCTCTTAAAATTAATTAGTCAAATTTTTTTAATTCTTTTGATATTTTCTGCTAGGTAGCGCCGCCGCCGTGCGCGGTTTAATTAAAAGGTTTTGGCCGATTTTGACATGGTCAAAATCTCTCCTGTCAAAATAGGTAAAAATCTCGGTCAATTGACCAGGCACAACCCTACATATACCGCTTATTCGCTATATTTTGTATAGATGACCTTGTTCCTTTTTTTTCAGGGTATATTTGCTGATTTGGCGTATCATTTTGCCTTATGCGCATACTCAGTTCATAAGTGGGGGATTTAAATTATATGATACCATACCTACATCACAGAACATAAGACAGACAAATTTGGCTTTAAAAAAGGCAAAAAGTGGTATAATATGCATATTATGTAAAAGCCACTAAAAATCTCGTAAAAACAATAGAAAAAATCAATGCCAAAAGAATTGGTATACAGCAGAAAACAAACAAAATGGATAATTATAAAAACCATCTACATATTTATATGTCTATCATAAAAACGTTTTGGATATCGTGATCATAATACGATGTTGCCAAATTCTTGCTTTTATAAATATGCCATTATAAAATCTAAAATGTCATCATTTTGTGTATTTATTATTGTTAAATGTTTTTTTCCATACAATTTATTAAAAAGTTTTTATTATACCCAAATATCCATTAGGGAGAAAAATGTTTTTTTTCTTCGGCAATGCAGCCTGCGCAGAAATGATTTGTATATGTGTGGAAGCAAGATACATACATATATGTATCTTGCTTCATACGTTCAGAGTAAAACCGAATATAGGGAAACGTTTTGGGCGTGGCCTCGCCTCCCTCCAACGCGCGTCACAGTGGCTTGTGTGATGACAAAAGGTCGAGCAGGTAAGACACTTAAAAATTAAATGATAATAATGCAAAAAATCTCATTAGCGATGCAGGCTATTTTCTTAGCTACTGTGTCGCGCGTTGGAGGGAGGCGAGGCCACGCCCTATACGTTTCCCTATATTCGGTTTTACTCTGAACGGGCTGTATATACATATGTACAGTGGCGGCTGGTGGATTTTGGACACACCCATATCTCAGTTATTAGACATGGGACCCACATTAGGGTGAGCCAAAAAAACTAACCTATCGGATTTATGGGTTAAAATGAACCTACATACCGAGCAAAAAATTTCCCTGCAAGGCAAAATTTTTTGCTCAATTTTAAAAGGTGTCGGTGAGCATTCTAAGTTTTCCATTGAAATAACACGTAAAAAAATCTTTTAAAAGAATTAAAAATTATCATCGCTCAGGAAACTTATAAACAATATACAATCTCGAAAAAAGAAACAAAGCTGGCAGGCTGGCATGCATGGTATGTGTAAAATAATTATGATATTTATACATAACTCAACTAAAAAAGTTTTTAATTGACCACGTGCTGCGGCATGCTGCCTACATAGCCCTATGGCACACCGGCCCACTTAGCCCTCAGGACCACCGGCCCACCGGGATTTCTCCCGGTGTCCCGACGGCCCAGCACGCCCCTGGACACAAACCAAACTTATCTCCCAACTGTTTTATTCTGTTCAATTAAAATAAAGTTTGTTTACCTATATTATAAACATTGCTTCCGTGTTTTTAAAAGCCTTATAACAACACAAAAACAGTGTTTATAAATCCTTTTCATTGTGCTTTCTTTTGCAATAACCAAATACAACATCTCTGAATAATTCCGGATATTTATTTTAATCGCTATATGTACGGTACATATAGAAATGGTAGGTACATAATGTACCTACCATTTCTCTGCTAAAAGTCTTATTAACTCTTGCTATTAGTCTGACTTACTAAGACTTTTTCGGACTTGATAAGTCTTATATTCTGACTTTTTCCGACTTAACAAGTATTATTCAGATTTTTTAAGAGAAAGTAAGACTAAAAACTCTTATTAAAACTTTCTCAGAGAAAAAATTCCACAAGGGCGTTTAAAATTGACTTCTTTTATGGGTTAAAAAAAGGCAAAAAATATTTTTATAGAAACTGTTTATTATATAAAAATAGGTATAATACAAAAAAACATTTTGGAGACTAAACATAAAAAATATAATTTTTTCGTATACCTACCTACTTAATATAGGTACTTATTTATTATATAAAAATACCTCGAAAAACACAATACATTTTGGAGGCTTACCATGAAAAATATATATTTTTGTTATACTTACCTGTTTATTAATACAGGTAATAATTACTATTAATAATACTTCAACAAAAATCCAAACTTGGATTCCAAACCAAACACAAAGTTACTCTTTAATTTTTGCTTTGCCTGGCGCTTAAGAACTTCTATATAGGTATATACTTAAATATAAAACAAAAAGCATTTTTTTCTTACACTTATTAATAGTTATTGTGCGACTAGTGGGAGAAGAGGAGATTCCTCTAGCGTGAGAGTGCGGTAACACGCGAGTGGAATATCCTCTTTTGACCAATTGTCGCACACAATATTTTATTAGCTATCATTGATGCGCAGAACAATAATACACTTATTTTCAATTTAAAACAATAACTAATGTGCACAATATTAATCACTACTGTTCCTGACACCACTCATTGATTTCACAAGACTAACTGACTGAGAAAGAAAAATATATTTTTCTTTCTCAGTATACCTACGTTTTTAGATCCTATTGCAATAGCATTAAATAAGATTATAATAAGGTACTTACTTTTGAAGAACAATGCAGTTGCCCAGGGCCGGATTTAAGGGAGGGCAATCAGGGCAAATGCCCGGGGCCTCCACAAGAGACGAGCCCCCACAAATTGTATTTATTAAACTAACCTAATATTACGATTTGAAAACTTACCAAGTAATTTTAATTTTATATGATTTAAATTTTATTTATTACATATTAATTTTACTCGCGGCGGGGTATTGTTTTACTGTGTTTTCGGTCGATGGTCGATCCAGTGTTGCCAACAGTAAAATGTTAATATTTTCAAAAACCTAAATAAAAATTCACGAGAATTCTCTAATTTTGCCAAAAAAAAATCTCCAATACTTTTAATGGTCAAAATCAAAGAGGTTTGTATTCAGGCCCGTTCCTGGGGTGTCTGGCGCCTGCGTGCAGCATTCGTTGGTGCGCCCCTTTTATATTTAAATATAATACATTAAATATTTGAATGTTAAGCCGTAAAATTTAAAAATATATTTTGCGACAAACTGGCAATATGTAATTGAAAATGTAAAAAAACCGCTTAAATTAAGTATAAAAAATATTTATTAAATTACCAAACAAACAAGTAATAACATAACGGCATCTATTTTTTCCGAAAAAAATCGTAAAAACACGTTGCTAAGTAATATTTTAACAAGAAGCATAAGTGGTGGTGGCAACAAAAATCCGAGTCGAAGACGAGGATTTTTGTACCTGCACGAATGCATTTTGTTAAAAAATATTACTAAGCATTGTACAACACGTGTTTTAACGATTTTTTTCACAGGAAAAGTTAGATTCCCTAATGGTATTTGACAAGACTATTTCATGAGTAACAGTTAACAATTAAAATATAATTTTTGGACAACAGCTGTCAAGTTTTGCCACGAGTAAACTCGAAAAAACTGCTGACAGGTGCTGTCATACAGTTTTTCCACCTAGAAACCATTTCTGTGGGCAAAAGGCATAAGGGGATAAGTCAAAATGATCAATTTTTCAGTACAGCCTTAAACGTATTCGCATTAATTCAGGAAATATATTTATGGTTAGCGTGTATACCCTTTTGTTAGCACATGTCATATGCTAACAAAAGCGTATACCCGCTAAACATAAATATATTTCCTGAATTAATGCGAACACGTTAAATGCTCTATTGAAAAATTGCTTTTTTTGACTTATCCCCTTATGCCTTTTACCCACAGATTTGTAGTTCAAAATTGCGCGTTTGTAATTGGTGGAAATTAAGACGAGGGAAATAGTCAGTGATAAAATACTCTGAAGAAAACAAAAAAAACAATCTAAACAATATATTAATTACAACTGGTTTTTAGTGACGTACTCTCTAAAAATGACTAGTTTTCAAAGTAAAAAAGCAGTCACTAATAACTTTAGTCCACAGCAATTTGTATCCCGGGCATTTAACAGCTTAATATTATCTAAAATTGTTCCCTGAATCCGAAAATACCGTCAAATTATAAAAGTAAAGCAGTTTTTAAGATATAGTCAATACCATGTTATATGGGAAATTTACTAAATCTTAAAAACGTTCTACTTTTATAACTTTTGACGAGATTTTCGGATTCAGCGGACAATTTTTCATAGGAGTTGACTGCTAAATATCCGGGATACAAATTTCTATTGACAATAATTATTAGTCGCTGCTTTTTCGCTATTGCAATTAGACTAATTGAATTAGTAATTTTTGACTAATTCTATTTTAGAGAGTTACTACTGTTAAACTTTGCTACCGTCAACTGCAACTATCAAACAAATACTAAAGATAATATGACCATTTCTCTCCTTTTATTTTGATCCTCATATCAAAACAAAATAAGCAGCCAATATCAAAGCGACAAAAGGTGCTTTATAGCGACCGAAAAAAAGAGCGGCCGACGCAAAAAAGGCAGAAACCTTTATCCAATGTATGTTTAAGTATCATATGCAGGAAAGTTTATCGTTACAAAGTACTGATTGACTCTTTGATTTTGCGCCCCCGAAATGTTGCGCCTGCGTGCGTGCACGCACTGCACGCTCGCCAGGAACGGGCCTGTTTGTATTAGTAATCTAGTAGATTTGAGTCGGCGTAATTGTCCACTAAAAAGCAAAATGTCTGTGCCCACCTCCTGTTGTTCCTCTTGTTCCTAATGGGCGTATAGCAACGGCCCGGCGAATCCGGGAAAGGCTATTCAAACTATTCGTAAGTCGCTCTCGAGCCTCAAATATGGTACAGTATACTGAACGCGGTGGACATTCGCACCCAGCAAACACGGGTGAAGCCGTGCATAAAAAAAATCGGCATACGGTAACGGAGGCTTGTGCGAGGCTCGGGAGAGATGAGACAATGGCGCTGGTTATACGACTCTTATACTCATACTAAAAAAAAAATTCGTTTTTTGATAGTCTTAAAATTTTACTATTTTATAAATGCAAAACATATACTTTTAATAATAATAATAATAATATTTATTTATCCATTATGATCATATACATGATATAGGACAAATTGAGTATAATTTTTATTAAGGAATAGGTAAATTCATCAATTTAAATTTTTCAGACATGCTGGTGTGGACAAGACATGCTAATGACAATTTGAATTAAAAACTGAATCAAAAATTAAATTTTAATTTTTTAAATTTTAATTTTTGGAGCAAAAAACACATTTTTACAAAATACAGGCCTACTATGTCAGTTTTTAAGAGTAAATTTTTAAGAATTTATATTAGCGATTTTTTAAAAACTTTAAAAGTAAGTAGGTACCTAATTTTTGTAATATTCAAAGCATATTTTTATTTAACCGTTTAGTACCTACTATTCTGCCGTGCTAAGACAAGAGGTCGTATCTAATTTAAGTAAAAATTCGAGTTATTTTAAGATTTCTGAACTTAATTAACTGGATTAGTAGTTTCCCATCATTTTTTAAGCAACTTTTTTGGACTACTAACGGAGAATTATTGTCTGCTGTAAATATCGATCAGTTTGATATCATAGATATTACGGTAAAAGAATATTGGATAACTTTGATATATACGACACTTCTTTTTATAAGGTAGTATAACACATTTATTGTCAGGGATACGACTTTTCGTCGTAGAATGAACCACTTAAGACGTTTTGACTTAGAAAATTTGATTCGATTGTATAAATTAGTACACATTAGATTAATCAAAGTAGGGAAATAATTTATTCCTAATTCTAATGCATATATGCATGTATACATGTGTATTTTTTGGCATAATTCAAGGTAACTGAAAAATCAAAATCAACCTCTATAATTATTTTTTAAGTACCTAAACAAAACTTGAATCTAGGTCGGATTCTTCTGCAACAGTTTTTGGCAATACCTCCCAAAACTTTAGCCTATTTTTCAATACAGACATTCGTTGTAATTTTTTAAGTAAATTTCTTTTCGAACTATACATATCCCTCCTGCAAAAGATCTGATTTCTGGCTGAGTGATACCTTCTTTTAAAGATTTTGCCGTCAAAATGCATAATTCAACAAGCTTTTCATTATATTTTGTTTTGTAAAATAATTTTTTCGAAACTCTAATAAAATTTACTTCACAAAAGTTTGATAAGTAGGGTTTAGGTATTGTTTTATTCAGTTTTAATCTGGATAAGTCCTTTGCGTCTAAAAAGTCATTAACATTCATCTTAATACAGGTTGTTTTTTCACTATTTGACGTTTGAACACAGTTTTTGTAGTCCTCAAAATCTATAACTTTGCCTTTTTGTTTGAATGCCTTTTCCACTTGATGATGAAATGAGGAGCATTCGTGCAAAACCGGCTATATCAATTTTAATAAAATGTTGGGAAAATGGCAAAAACTCCCCGTTTACTGGCCTTTACAGATAAAAAATATGCACCTTAATTAAGTTTTGGTAGCAGCTACCGATTGCCAATCGGTAGACTCTACCGAAAAAATCGGTAGTCTCTACCAAAAAAAAATCGGTTCCCTCAACCGATTTTTATCGGTAGTAGCTACCGATTATTTTTCGGTAGAATCTACCGATTTTTTCGGTAGAGTCTACCGATTTTTTCGGTAGCCGTAACCGAGAAAATCCGCATCGATGCGCTGTTAGAAAATTTAAAAAAATATATTAATACTTAAAAATATTAACATTTAAAAATAATATTAAACATTATTCAAGTTAATAAAAATTATTCTTTTCAGTCAAACATTTTGAGATGGTATTCATTGTAATTATTAAAAAATGCTATTCAAAGAAATGGGTTTTTTTATCATCTATTTAAAAGAAAGTTTATTTATCCAATTATAAATGCATACAGTTTTGTCAATTATTTTATATGTAAATATAATTTTAATTTAAATATATTTCTAGGTATGTACATATTGGTGATTTTAGTACTGAAAAAAAAAGAAAACTTTTTCGAAATTCAAAATTCCCCGCGCTTGCACTTCTGTTGGTATCATGCTTATTGCGTTGAAATTGATTATAAATCAAGTATGACAAAGAATAAGAGCAAATTACCAAATTTAGAACCTTGTTTATTAATACAAAAAAAAAATCTCTACTTTGTAGCCACCAGACATTTAATTTACTTAATATTTATTTAGAATTGTAAAAAATTTAATAAAAATTACTCCTCATTTTTAATATTTTTGTATTTCAAATTTATTTATACCTCAAAAAAAAATACTATTTCTATTTAATAAAAAGCGAGTATTTAACTTCTCGCTAAAAAAATACAAAAATTTTCAAAAATTGGTAATCGATTTTTTCGGTAGCCTGCACCGAAAAAATCGGTAGACTCTACCGAAAATAATCGGTAGCAGCTACCGATTTTCGGTAGAGACTACCGATTTTATCGGTAGAGTCTACCGATTTTTTCGGTAGAGTCTACCGATTATTTTTTTCCGTGTAACTGTCAGATAGAATAATTTAAGTAGAGATCAAATAGGATATTTTGATTTAGTAATTGGATAAAATTTGAAAGATACGACAAATATTAATATTATATAAGTTATTTGACTTATTTAGGCTATATATACGATTTTCTGACTTGCAAAATATGATGCAAAATATGCAAAAATCTGGAAATCCAATTTTTTGTTAGTTACGACTTCTTGTCTTAGCACGGCAGTATTATAGTAGCGTCATTCCACGTTACTCGAGGATTTTTGTCCCGCCCGTCACAATTAAAAATTGTGAGTAAAAACTACACGTTATAAAATTTATTTTAAAATATTGTTTATTATGCTTTTAATAAGTTATAAGCACAATAAAAATAATATTATAAAATATTAATTTAATAACTTGTGGTTTTTACTCACAATTTTTAATTGTGACGGGCGGGACAAAAATTACCTAGTAACGTGGAATGCCCCAGTAGTAGGTATTTCCAAAATTTGTTTTTTTATGAAACCTTTAAATTTTCTTTGTAAAAATCATAGTAAAATCATTTGGATATACACATTCGCCAATTTTTGAAAAATTTAAAATACTACCAATTTTCTTGCTCTTATCAGTAAAAAACATTAAATTTTAATTTCTTTATAATAATCTCTACGTAAATAAACATTGGGGAAGAAGACCGTGGTCTCTTGGCAATAATAGAAGCTCAAGGAAAAATCTACATAAATCATATATATTTGATTTATGTCTATAGATAAGGTAAGTATATCGCATGGTGCTGTGTAACGACGCGACGCGGTAACCACTTAACGCTTATACTGATATCAGTTGATTCGCTCGTAAAATGGACAGTCAGTCAGTGGAAACGGTGAGCGGGCGCGCGGAACCACAAAATGATTGCGTGCCATGTGCGCTTCAGAGAAAAGTACCTTTTCCTGCTGGCCCTTTCCATCATCCTCCTCTTCACCTTTACCACCTACACATTTACGACAGATATTGGAATTAAAAGAGCAAACATTGAATTCGAACGCGATGACCATGTTTTCATTAATCAGAGAGCAACACTTCAAATCACAAACGAACAAGATATTGAACCGAAAGAAGTTTATAATGTTACAAGGATTCGTGATAAAATAATTTTATCCGGTGATTTACCCCTTATATCTGGTGGAGAAGATGCACAAAAAATATCGAGACAGAGAAGGGATAAAGTCAAACAGGTAGATGTTTATTATTATTTATACTTTTTTAATCATGAGTGCACGTACAGTTACACATTTAATTTATAAAACAATATAAGACTATTGACCTTGAACTACATGCTGATAATGTTTATTTTAATTTAAAATAAATAAATAATTACCTTATTCTACTAGATGATGTTACATTCATGGAACGGCTACAAAAACTACTCGTGGGGTTACAATGAGCTTAGCCCCTTGAACAAAAATGGCCATTTGACCAGCATTTTTGGACAGGAAAAACTTGGCGCCACGATAATCGATGCAATGGACACCCTATTTATCATGGGATTGCACGAAGAATTTAACGAGGCCAAACTATGGCTCGAACAGTGCGATTTTAATTCTGTGGTCGGTAGTTTTTTTATTTCTTATTTCATAGTTTACTTAATTTGTTTTATATTCTAGTCTTCGTATGTATCCGTCTTTGAAGTAAATATTCGATTTATTGGAGGCCTTTTGACGTGTTACGCCTTGACTGGAGACGACCTTTTCCGAGATAAGGCAAAAAGTATCGCGGAAAAGCTTTTGCCTGCTTTTAACACGCCGACTGGGATTCCCTATTCTTTAGTTAACTTAAGTACGGGAGTAAGTTTATTTTATTTACTTATTTTGCGGTTTCTAATCTAAATTTTAAGAAATTGATGAATTATTATTGGGCCAGCAAAGGTTCCAGTATTTTATCGGAATACGGCAGTTTGTACTTGGAATTTGCTTATCTGAGCGAAATAACAGGAAATCCAATATTCAAAAACAAAGTGGATGACATAATGGAATTTTTGGATAAAAAAGTGAAACCGAACGGATTATATCCGAATTATATCGACCCGAAAACAGGAAAATGGACAGGAAGTAATAAATGAAATTAAAAAGGTCAAACCAAACGATAAAACATTCAATTATAGTGCACGTGTCTATGGGTTCCTTAGGCGATAGTTTTTACGAATATTTGCTGAAAATTTGGCTGCAATCGAATAAAAAGAACGACATGCCTAGAAGAATGTTTGAAGAAGCCATCGACGCCATGCTAGAACAAATGCTGTTCATTTCCAAGGAAGGCCTTGTGCATTTCTCCGAGTTGAAAAACGGCAACCCCGATCACGTCATGGAACATTTGGCTTGCTTTTCAGGTACCTACCTACCTATATGTTGTATATTTAAACAACCAAGTATAAATATTTTCCCATAGGTGGTCTTTTAGGGCTGGCATCTGTAACCCTAAACAACAGTAAATCGGAAAAGTACTTAAAGACTGGCGCGGATTTGACGCACACCTGCCACGAATCTTACGATAGATCTGAAACGAAGCTGGGTCCCGAACGTTTCCGCTTCCGGGTCGGGCAAGAAGCCAAAGCGTCGAATCACGGCGACAAATACTACATACTTAGGCCGGAAGTTGTAGAGTCGTACTTTTACATGTACCGGTTGACCAAAGATGAGAAATATAGAGATTGGGGATGGGAAGCAGTTAAGGTAAGAATTGATATTTTTTACTTGATTGCTTTTATATTACTTTTAAATTTTATTTAGGCAATTGAAAAACATTGCAAGGTAGCGTCTGGAGGGTATAGCGGAATTAAAAATGTGTATGATTCGAACCCAATTAAAGATGACGTCCAACAAAGTTTTTTTTTAGCAGAAACACTTAAGGTAAATTGTTTATTCAATATATTTTTTTAATTAACCGTTATATTTCTTACAGTACTTATATTTGTTATATTCCGACGAAAAGCTTATCTCCCTGGATAAATGGGTGTTTAATACAGAAGCCCATCCTTTGCCCATTAAAAATGCAAATCCATATTTTAGAGTTACGACTATGTGAAAAATGTTTTTAAATAGTTATTGTTGTGTATTATTTAAATTTATTATAATTTATTCCTTTGCAACATACAAATTGTTATTAATTTATTAATAAAAGATAATTAGTTTAACATGATATAACGTTACATTATTTAGCTACAGCTTTGGGAAAATGATAGTATTATTTATTATTTATATAATATTAAGTATCATCTTTAGTATAAAAATGCGTTTTTTTAGCGATAAAAAATCCGTTAGATATGGCTAAATTGCAATTAAAGGTACCCTTAGAAGATTAATCAGCAATATTGTTAATGGATTTTTCTACACCCACCTTTAAAACGCACATTATCGTACATGTTTTCATGGCACTAAGTGACCTTTTAAATACACATTGACAAGTTGTGGCTTTATGTTAGTCACGAGCTGAACTTAAGCTAATTAGCAACAGGTTTTTAATCACGAGCTAAAGTTTGTTTTAAATTAGTTGACAGATAACAAATGTCATTCAATCGTTAAAATATAGTGCCCCTCTTGTAAAATAATACTAAATGATTATTTCAATATAAAAATACTAAAATATTAAATAGTTTCTTAACGCCAATATTTAATTATATGAACGTTAGAACTGACCCTTTGATTTCGCCGTAATAGTGCAGTTAACTAGATTTAACTGATAAAGCGTTAAATATTTTGCGTACAGGGCCCATAAAACATTATCTTTTTTTTTACTGTAAAAAACTGCTTCTATATCGATTGTTAGTCTATTTTCAAGGGATAAATTTTGATTTACACAGAACAATTTGAGATTTTAACGCCGGTAGATTCCCAAGTTAGAAATTTTAACTGGAATTTAAATAAATACAACTGTCACATTTTGTACCTTTAGGAGTTTTTAAAACTTTGTGATAATATTTTGCAATTAGAGCAATAAAAAAATTAAAGAATAAAATATTTTCTTAACATAATCATATTTTAAAGTTATTTTAATATTTTAAAGTATCAATAATTGTTTAATTAAAATAATAACGGGCAATGTTAATGGTGAAAATTAAGTCAAAAATGTTTGGTTACTTTATTTTCGTATAGATGTCGCTTTATACAAATATTTAATTTAAATCATTTTTTAGATATTATTTAGTATTCGTCGTTGAAAAAGTATAGTATGCAACTCGTTCATAAACTTTTCTAGGCACTCATTTAATTAAGCACTCGCTCGCAAGCTCGCTCGGGACTAAATTAAATTCGCGACTAAAATGGCGTTTATCAAATTTGATACAAAATATAATATTTTGACCTGCTCTAATCTTATAAAACCAGTAACAGCTGAAATTTTGCTGACCAATCATTAATTTTGCTGCCAAATTATTGTTCATAGCCTACTGAAAACCGAATATTTTGCTTACCCTTTATTATCCCTAGGAAGGTGGTCCTATAGAGCCAAGGTGCTGTGATGTGTTCAGTACCCCTCCTACCGTCGATCTCCTGTGGCCAACTTTACGCTCTCGAGTCGCGTCTTCTGCAAACTTATGTTTCACATTCTCCCAATTAATTTACCGGCAGCTTGTGTCTGCCTGCCCGCCTCACACAAACCATCACTTGTTCATCGATAGACTTTACGTTCAAAAACATTGTCAAAACCTGGACGATCAATTTGAACTATTTGCTAATTAACCAATTGTACAACAAAAAAAAAAAATAATGTGTTGTTTCTTTAAACTGTAAAAATGTGGTGAATTTTTGTGCATGTGTATTTACACCAAAAGTGAATAATTACAAGAGCTTTAAGGATTAAGAATTAGCAGGTAAGGTTTATATTAACTATACACACTTATTTATTAAATTAAAATAGAGCAATATCTATAATGCTTTTTAAACATAAAATTCCCGCTTTAATAATATTTATTAATTCGCATCTTAAGAAAGTATTTAATTATAAAGTGATTGCAGCAAGAATTATAGATGTTTCATCTAATAAATATATGTTATCCGTGCTTTCACTAAATAATATTATACTTTTGTAAGTAATTGTAACTCGAGGGTAATTAGAGATCTTAAACTCCATTTTAAGGATATAAATTCTAGACTTATGGGTTATCGGATGAAACGAATATAAATAAAAATACAGGCATCACATAAAAATAATTATATTAAATACAAGCAGCACTTAATGCATGGGCAATTTGTTCTATAATAACTTCAATTAATTCCATTATCGAAATATTTGTCCGATGGTATTTGTTATAGCAAAAAACCGAGTGTTAATTAGAATTTAACTTATCTTATAGGTGGTTTAATTAATTAAGAACTGTACTGGCATACATTGTTGTGCTCTGGTTCATTTACAACTTCTTTTAGATGATTTTAAAAAATTAAACAGTTGTTTACGAAGTCAAGTGCCATGTAATGCTGTCATTATTTTTATGCAGTGCCGATATTTCATGGACATAAAAGTTACTTAACGTTTTGTTGTCCTGTTAGGTGCTTACGGTTCCAAGTTTGCTAGTTGCGCTAATTTGATCAAATTTATTTCAGATTAGCTAATACGGTATGCAACGATGAAGTTAAGAGGTTTAACATATTGTATGCTAGTACCTACTTTACCCACTCAAGATATGTATTTATAAATGCTCAGACGTGTGTATAAATATTTATTTTGTCGGCCTAAAAAATATTTTTTTTAATAACGGTTTGTTTTATATACCATGCATGAAGTTTAAACAATGAACAACACAGAATGAAAATTAGTAGCAATTGTAGACTGAATAGCAAATTACCGACCAAGAACCTAGTTTCCCGGCGCATTCGCCATTTTTTGCAAATCTAATTTGGTGCATCTATATTATAATATACAGGGTTGTTTATTATGCAACAAACCGTTTTATTTGCCTTTGCATTCTGAAACAATTGTTTTATTTTCTTTTGCTTGGTCAGACAGTCGAGTGACTGTTAACCTAATAATAACAGGTTTTAAAAATTGATACGAAAGTACCCAAGTCTAGTAAGCACTCAAGTTGAATTGCACGTAACACTTTGGAGGTGCTTCAAGTGTAATTTATTTTTATTAGTTAAAAATTAAAATATTTAACGTTAAGTATTTAATATATTGGTAGCCTCCAGGCATGCCTATTTAAATGAATCGAACAATTGTTCCAGTTCCGTGAGCATTTCTTCTAAATTCCTATGATTTTTAGTTTTAAACGGAAATTAATAATAAGAATATCTCGATAGCCGATGATAGAAAGTTGTAGTGTCTAGTATAAAAACAAAGTGGAAACAAAACGCAAGGAATTGAGATCAACTTTAGAAGATAAGGCTGCATTTAAATTTACATTAAGTATGTAAAAAATAATTAATGAACCGAAGTAAAAGTAATTATTCGCATGCGGGTTCACTAATAATTATAATACTCCAGTTTAGGTTGACAAAGCTTTCTTTGTTTTATTTGGGTACACCAAAAATTATAATTATGTTATTTTGTTAAACAATTATGTCAAATATACAGGGTGCACCAAGTATCCTTCTATGTATGGGTATCTTTTTTATTTAAAGAGCTACAAGGTTGGTTACATTAGACAAAAGTTGCGTGATTATAAATGTAATAAAATTAGCGGTTCTCAAAAAATATGAAAAAAACTGAAAACAAGATACAAAAAATCGTTATCTTAACTTCGTTATTCCTGGGAATTTTGTAAAAAAGTAAGTATTACATGTAAACGTAAGTTTTACATTTTCATCAAATTTGTTATTTTTTGCCTACAGTATTTTGATATACCAACCACAATTTTTTATTTTTACTATGGCCGCCATATTGGAATTTTACATGATTAGATAAAAAAATCAAGGAATCCAACGATGTATCAAACTACATTATGGCGGCCATTATAGGAACACAAGATGGTGAATACATTGATAAATTGGATGAAAATGTAAATTTATGTGTAAAACACTTTATTTCAAAATTCTTCGATTTTTGGTTTTGAAGTGTTTTTTGATTTTTTTAAATATTTTGAAATTTTTTCCAATTTATAAATTTCATATTAATAGGCTTGTAGTTACGCAACTTTTCTGTAACTCTTCAAATAAAAATATACTTGGTACACCCTGTATATTATTGTAGGTATATCAAATGCACTTCTCACGGTGATTTATTTATTTATATTGTTAATTAAAAATATGAACAATTAAGAAGAAGAAAAAGCATACATAATAATTTTTAACATAAAGAAAAATGAATATTTAAAAATCTTAATAGATCAATTAACAATTTTCGAAATAAATTAAATGATTAAATATTTTTAGCCTCCGCATTGACCTACTAAACTTACGAACAAACTGGACATTTTATCCGGAAGGTCGATCAACATCTCGTTTTATAAGTAGATATAATACATATACATACATATTATGTGCGTATCTTACATTGCCCAGTTTTTAGGTTTATAGGCTACACTTCAGGATTTAAAAATTATTCATAATTTATAAGGTACCACCTTAATTAAGCCGCTGTGGAAAAATTAATGTTTTTATTAATTTATAGAATTAGAATCAAAATTAGAATGTAGATGGGCTGAAGTGAATTTAAATGTTAACCTACTTAAATACCCTGTAACTAATTAAAACCAATTTAAATGTTCAAAATACATTTATCATCAGATATTCTTAGTATCTACAATACAGCTATTATTATTGACACACATAATATGTACCTACCTATCGTTTTTATAAGCAAATATTTACTTTAGAAAAAGTAAAATTTGTATTCATAGACCATCTCTAACATAAGATATTTCTCCAATAAAAATATTTCGAATTCTAAAGCATTATTAGTAGTTTTACTTTTACCCATTTTTTAAATTATTTATTATTCTTAACAGACGTTTTAATTTTTTTAGATTAAATATTTAAGGATGCAGTAATGGACGGTCACCTTTATATCAGCACCAAGGGCAAAGGTAATTCTATGTTACATACTATAATTTTTCATAATAACTAATTATTGATAATAAATATTAACTACAG